GAAGGAAGATTTGCTTGGCAGGGGCGTGTACAGGATTTGTACCAGGGGGGGGGTCAAACCGTAACCACAAGTTGGCGAGCACGGAGCGGGAGGGGGAGTCTGGGAGCCCTGCCCCCAAATTTTTTTTAAAATTAGACCCCCTCAGATGCGTTTTCTGCGCGATCAAGGGAGGGTGTGGGAGGGGGGTGTTCACTGTTCACCCTCCCGCACGATGGAGATTTTGCAATTACTACACTAAAATGGAGCAAACTAAGGTGAAATTCTTGCAAATTAAAAAAAAAAATTTTTGGCTTGGGGGGGGGGCTCGGGGGGGTTCGTTCGAACCCCCGAACCCCCCTGGCTACGGGCCTGCCTCTTATATCCTTGAACCCGAAGAGTCGCGTACGTGACAGAGACACGTACCCGTACTGCACTGCACTGCCACTAGCTCGTACTCGTAGTCGTAATTTGGACGTTTGAAACAGATAAATACACAAGTCTTAGATCTACAGCACCTGAACAAGATCGTAAGACATTTACTGGTGAATATTCTCCACATTCTGAGTAGTGTGGCTGAATGGTACAGACACGCGCGTATTGCTGTATATACTGCCTAAGGCTAGGCTCTGTCAGCGTCACTAAATACAGTGGCAGTGCATATGTCGTATGATAAGGCAAATGCGCGAAAACCTACCTTCTTTTCAGGTTTATGCTTTCTCTCAACAATGTCAATGACATTCAATAGCATACCCCCTTCGTCTGTCATAATGTACAGATAGTTATGAATTATTAATAGGTTGAATACACAATGATATCATAGACTAAGAGTAAGAGTAAGGATATCACTAGTCTATGGTCTGTGATGATAATATAATAAACAAACGCATGTGGTAAACAAAAGAGCAGTTAGAACTGTCGCTGTCATATAAATTTCCCCCTGCGGAAATGTGGGAGGTACTAGAAAAAAGATTTATGCCGATTATTATAATAGTAAAATTTCTCATATAAGCCCTATGCATTTTATATATATCTTGTCTATGTTGCGCTACGCGTATAGTTTACTTCTAATAGTTATGTTATATATAAATGATCAAACAAAGGACAAATAAACTGGGCTTATCTTGATCCATACCTTTGATCCATACTACTATCGCCTCCACTAGGCGTCGCTGCAACTCGTATATGTACTTGTCCTCGGCAAGATAGCAATCCGCTGGAGTTGTGTTATAAATTTAAAACACTTAAAATTATGAACATGTCATTTCAAGTTCGATATTTAACAATTAATTTAGTGAAATGGACAACCCGGATGCGATTGCAAGCAAGAAACAACACACGTCTGGCGTATGCAAGTGGAAATTATAAATGCGTGAATGTAACTGTAAGGGCACAAATGTAACTGATCAAAATGATCATAATCATAATCGTAATGTAACTAGGACTGTGTTACTGTGTTAGTGTTACACATTGACAGTCGCGGCTAGGGCCTGCATACCTCCCAACGTCCCATTGGTTGATACAAATCCAGATGAGACGGGATACTAGAGAAGCGTTGCCGAAAGGAGGTGTTGACCCGAAGTGCTGAGCGCAGATCTTGCGCGCAGTTCGGCGGCAAGGCGCACGCGACCGCGGGAACGTCCTACGACAGTATGCAGCGCTGGCAGCTATGGATCCTAGATACAATAATGTAACCCAAACCCAAGAGGATAGGGTTACAAAGTCTCCCTATCCTTTTCTGCGGAGGAATGCCCGAGTGAATCACTCGGGCCGGTTTGCTGGTGCGTTTTCAGATACTAGAACTTCCAAACTGGGTTTATTCTCAACACGAACCTTTCTCCGCTACAGTAAAAACCCGCGTATAAGAACATAGATTTTAAGAACATGTTAGGCTAAAATTTCCCATT